GGTTCATTTAAGGTGGGGGCTTCAAAGTCGTCATTTGGGTGCTTCTAGGTCATTTGACGTGGGCTCTTCCGTAGACTTAGATTAGTATCGGCGTTCGACGGTTGCTCTCCTTTATCACTGACAACGAAGCCCAGTTCATTTAGATAATATTTTAGATTTGTGATGAGTTTTAGTAATGAATTTTATTATTAAAATTTTATATTTTATTTGTAACTGTTTTTTAGCGACAAAATATCTCTTTAATAATGAATTTTTTTATTATTATTGAACATGTAAATATTTGTGATCAAAAGTTTAAATCTATCAAAATTATGATGAGTTTTAGTGATAGTTTTCATCATCATAAGTATGTATTTTTTTGTGATAATTTTTAATGATGAAATATATTTTTAGTGATAAATTATTTGGTTATCATTGAATGTAAAGATATATATGATTATTATTTGAAATTTGTATTAATTGAGATGAGTTATAATGATAATTTTTATTGTTACAAACTTATTTTTTATTTGTGATAATTTTTTAGTAATGAAGATTTTTTTAATGACAAATTTTTTTATCATTATTAAACATACATACATCTATGATTAATTTTTTAAATTTGTTATAAATATAATGAATTATAATATTAATTTTAACATTTATTAAAAAAATTTATCACTAAAAATCTCATTTCTTGTATTGTGTGAAAACTTCTATCTTGTTGGTTAGATGAAATCAAAACAAGGTATGCAGAAAAATTAAAGAAGGTTGTTTTCTCATGACTTACATTTGCTAAATGTCAATGACGCGGGTCTTTTAATTTCGGCTGTTCATAGACTTTTCTCAAGTAAAACTAAGGATTTTAAAAATGAATATATTTTTTCACTTAATTGATTATAAATTTGGTAGAAAATTAGTTAGTTTTCTATTCATTCATAATTAAGCTTAAATTAAAATAATAATAATAATAATAGCATAGATCTAAATCTAATTTAATCAAAGATTTTTATTTATAATTTTCTTTTTTTTTGATATATAGAATACATCCTTAACTTTTTTTACTAATCATTCAAATTCATTTTAGGAGATAAAAATTAAGAAAATCAACAAATACATGAAGCCTAGAATGAGAATGACAGAAAATGACTACAATATATGCTTTGCCCACTCCATTTAAAGCAAGAATTGTAAATTCAATTAAATAATCTTTTAATATTAATATTTACCAACTAATATTTGTTATTTATATTAAAAAATATAAATAAATAGACTTTTTAAATT